GTCGGTATATCGTTCTATGTTATATATATATATATATATATATAACTTAGACGTTTCTATTAACCCTAACCCTATTCTGTGCATCACATGCGATTCACTGCACATAATACTAAAATGTCTGATTATCATGCGTTTTACACAATTACATTTATTTGATACTCAGCAGGTGATCGTGAACGTGATAGTAGAAACTGGTTGTTTTGGTATTACGTATGAGATTAAAACAGAGCTTCGTATGAGAGTCACGTGTGACTCTCAAATCGTATGTGCATGATGATAGCCCGGTTCGTATTGGTTTACAGGGATACCGGGCAATTGCCCAGTAGGCCGGTGCATTTGATGCATGTGAAAAATTATTGGGCCACTGTTAGTGATATTGCCCGGGCTGGTCATTTAATGCCAATCCGCCCATGATGATAGGTTAAGTTACTTTCACTCAAGAGAAAATATAAACGTAGGATAAATTACTTTTTTATTACTTCTTTATATTTTCATTACCAATTACACTAATCTTCCAACAAATGAATAATGGGTAAGTAGTCAAATGAACAAATCCATAACAATCACCAAATGGCCTAAAACATAAAAAGGGCTAATGTTGGTCAGAGGGTGTTTTTACGTCACGTAATGAGCGCATAGCTTAATTACTAGAGTTTGAAAGTTCAGAAAACGATTTGAGCCACATGAAATGTGAGTTAGTTAATAAACTTGTTTGATTCTTAATTTGGTGATTCTGTTACAGTGATTGATCGATTATTGAGTTAGCGAGTTTATTAGTTAGTTTTATACTGGTTCACATTGTGAATATTGAGTTTGTATGCTGTCGAAGACACAAAGTACGTATGTACGAGAGAAACTATAAAGTAAATGAAATTGCCGTATTAACGTCTACTCTTCACTTAGTATTATCAGTGAATATTGGTAAATTTCATTTGTAGAACTGATAGTTAAAGAAATGAAACGCTTTCGTTACCATTAATAGGACTGGACTTTGCATTCTTTTTTTTTAACAAAATAATAAAAAAAACACGTCCAACAATATAAACCGTTACAACAATATATTTCCTAGAAAATATGGTGTGTGTGTGTGTGGTAGGGGGACTGTGAAGCATTTTGAAACACGAAGTTGTCTTGCACCAAGAAATATTGTTTGAAGAATCCATTTCAAAAGTTAGGAGTCAATTGTTACTTTAAAGTGTTGATGATTTTTGTTTGAATAAATATGAAAAATTAAAATGTTTGTCTTTTTATGAAGTTATAATTTTAAAAAGTCCCTTGAACCTGTTTAGTTAATCTATTTATTTATATATTTATTTTTGCTTCTTTCGTTTTGCAATAGCCTTGCGTCATTTTAAGAGAATAACGGAATTTATTTTTTGTCTTATACATCGCTAAGAACAATACAGAATTATAACAACGCTTAATTTGCTTTGCATGAAATATTCAGGTGAGTCTAAGAGATAAATGTCGATTCTTATTTGCTCTCAACTCTGAAGCCTTGTTTTAAGAAAAAGTCAGCGAACTTAGCTACAATGCTTTACAAAAATCTGACGCATCTACTATTTCTTAGATATTATCACTCAATGGCGGCGGAACGGCTTTAAAAGTGAGGGAATCAAACTATATAACATGGGAGAGGAAGATACCATTACCTCCCCCCGTAGGATAGTCTGGAGAAGCGCTATAAGCTCTCCCAGTGGAGTCTGGGGCAGTGACTCAGCCGTCAGCAGATCTTATGTTTATGAAATTCACGAATTAGTGTCAAAAACCAAAAAATTGTTGACATTTGCGTTTATAGTCTATTAAGTCATATTGTTACGTCTCCGTTCGTTAGTTGATTTTCCGTAAATTCGTTCCGACGAAACTTTAGCGACACAAGTCCTTTCTTAAATAAAACTGGTTTATTCTTTCCTAATACAACTTTACGATACACTTAATTTCAACAGTCGCGCTATATAGCAAACACCATATCTCACGTGGCTAACAATATTTTCTCTGACTGCAGTTCAATTACTCAATACACTGTTGTTCGGTCACGTTGTG